TCTTGGTATTTTTTGAGTTCTTTATAAATTCTAGATATTGATCCTCTTTTAGAAGAGTAGCTAGTAAAGATACTCTCCAATTCTGTAGGTTCTCTCTTCACATTCCTAATTGTTGCCTTTGTTGTGCCAAAGCTTTTAAATTTGATGTCATCCCATTTATTAACTGCTGGCAGCAAAGTGTGGTGCATATCTGTAATCCCAGCAACTTGGGAGGCTGAGGCGGAAGGATTGCAGGTTCAAGGCCAGCCTCAGCAACTTAGCAAGACCTATCTCAATGCAGCTTTTATCACAAGTTTGCAGCAGAGTATACAGCTGGAAGGTAGTTAAAATAAAACTTTCTATCCAAAGTACTAGGAATTGCTGCCCTCAGGGAATCCAGTTACTGGACTGGTCACTTCCAGCCATATAAATGCATATACACTATCATTTTATAGATGTGCCAGAATGTGAAAAGGGTTGGGAGGCCTGGACTTAGGCACTAAATAAGAAAACTCCACCTCAAAAATTCAACTTCTAAGCTCCTCAATAAAATTATGAAATAAAAAAAATTTAAATAAATAAAATTATAGCTGGGTGCAGTGATATACATCTATCATCCCAGCAACTCAAGAGGCTGAGGTGGGAGGATCAAAATTCAAGGCCAGCCTTAGCAACTGGGCAAGAATTGTCTCATAAACAAACTAAAGGGCTAGGACTATAGCTCAGTGGTAAAGCACTTGCCTAGCACATGTGAGGCACTGGGTTTGATCCTCAGCACCACATAAAAATAAATAAAATAAAGGCACTGAGTCTGTCTACAACTAAAAATGTTTAAAAAAAAAAATGCAAAAGAGGGGTAAAAAAAAAAAAAAGCCAGGTGCTGTGATCCCAGCGGCTCAGGAGGCTGAGGCAGGAGGATCATGAGTTCAAAGTCAGCCTCAGCAATTTAGCAAGGCCCTAAGCAACTCAATGAGACCCTGTCTTTAAATAAAATACGAAAAATGGCTGGATATGTGGCTCAGTGGTTAAATGCCCCTGAGTTCAATCCCTAGTACCAAAAATAAAAAACTAATTTTTTTTTTTTTTTGAAGGGTTGGAGCCAGCCTGTAGCCCCAGCAACTAGGCAGGCTGAGGCAGGAGGATAACAAGTTCAAAACTAGCCTCAGCAACTTAGTGAGGCTCTCAGTAATTTAGCAAGACTCTGTCTCAAAATAGGGGATGTATGTAGCTCAGTGGTCAAGCACTCCTGGGTTCAATGCCCAGTACCAAAAAATAAAATTAAATTAAAATAAAAGCCTGCAGAGGTGTAGCTCAGTGGCTAATTATAACTTTGGATTCAATCCCCAGTACCTCAAAATTAGTTAATTAAATTACAAAAATAAGATTCTTTGCAATTAAAGGTTAGAATGTATTCATTGTATTTCAAGGAGAAACTGAATTTCTAAGCCACAAGATGGTTAGCATTTAATATAATTCTATGGAGGGCTTAGTAAATAGTTTCTTTAAATATTTTTTTACTGGAATCTAGCAGAACAATATTAATAAAAATACTTGCTATGAAATTAGTTTGCTCTGCTGTTCGGTACTATCTAACTGGGAAATTCTTGGGAAATGACACAGTTGATCATCCTGAGAAGTGTCATAGACTGACAAAATTTCTTTCTCCTTGAGTAGCTTATCTGTTTATTATAATTTAGATTCCCTGGCAAGTAATGAACTTTGATCTTTACCCTCTCCTATATCTGAGCAGTCTAATTTAAAGAATAAATCTAAGCACAGCATATGGATCTGTAGACATATGGTAAATGTCAGCTCCTTTCTAGACAATGGTTTGAATGTGTTCCTTAGAGATTATCATAAAACAAGATCTTTTTTTCCTCCTAGTACTGGGGATTCAACCTAGGGGTGCCCTACCACTGAGCTACATCCCCAGCCCTTTTTATTTTTTATTTTGAGAACAAGGTTTGCCAAATTGCCCAAGCTGGCCTCAAACTTGCCATCCTCCTGCCTCTGTCTCTGGGTCTCTGGGATTACAGGTACCTACTTTGGCACCCAGCTAAAATAAGATCTTGTGAAAGTACTTTGTAAAATTAAAACAAAGCAATTGTAAGGAATTAGAACCAAGGGTGTGATTTTCAAATGCAACCCAGGCTGGCTCTGTGGGGACCAATCCTGTATTGTATTATGAATTGCTAGGCCTGAGCTTGATTCACACTCTGAGCGTGCCTTGCGGGTGTTACCCAGCAACATAAATAACTGATTGCCACATGATTCTTGGAAGCAGCAAATATGCTCAAATTGCCATTATGCTTGAACACTGCAGGCAGAGGCCGGCTGTTTCCTCCTAAATCATATGGGAATTAAGCTTAATTCCCTGGGCTTATTATCCCCACACTCAGAAGGAAACTGCTTAAATACTTAGCCAATGAATAAATACAAGGTTAGCTGTTTTTTTTCAGAAGTTTGTTTTTGTTTTTGTTTTGTTTTCAATGCTGGGCATGAAACCCAGGGCCTTGCATACTAGCAGACATTCTGCCACTGAGCTACATTCCTAGCCCCAGAAGTTAGATCTTGATCATAAATCTGTGTCAGTCAATATTTGAGTGCTCAAGTACAGAGTGTCCCAGATGGAAATAGTGTAGGAACAACTAATACAATCTGTTATCCCAACAATGTTCTGACTCTTGCAGGGTGAGCAGCATAGGCTTCTTCCATGTCTTTTGGTCTCTTAAATGTAAAACTATGCAGTGGTTGGATAAACAGTTAACCATGATGAGTCAGTAGCATGGAGAAACCTGCTTTTTCTAAATTATCGCCCCTACTATGTCAATGAGATTGATTCTAGATAGGATTTATTGCTAATCAATATTAAAAAAAAAACAAAAAAACAGGGACTGAACCCAGGGGTGCTGAACCACTAAGCCACATCCCCAGTCCCCCCAATCACTAATTTTTTTTTTTTTTTTGGTGGTGCTGGGGATTGAACCCAGGGCCTTATGCATGCAGGGTAAGCACTTTACCACCTGAGCTATATCCCCAGCCCCCCAATCACTAATCTTTAAAGTACCTTAAAAGATTAATAACTTGTTTTATCAAAGAACAGAAAAAGTTCTTGGGACCATCATGCATATTCTACACATGAACCATCAGGAATGACAGGACCCATGTGAGTCAGCCTAGATCCATCGAGTAAGTTCTAATCCAGCTAATTAAGCAGCCAGGGCACAGTACCCCATAAGACATTTATGAAAAGGGGACAGCTCTGAATCAATCAACTGGTTTTTTTGTTTGTTTGTTTTGGGTACTAGGGACTGAACTCAGGGGCACTCAACCACTGAGCCACATGCCCCCCAGTTTTGTATTTCATTTAGAGACAGGGTCTCACTGAGTTTCAAAGTGCCTTGCTATGTTGCTGAGGCTGGCTTTGAACTCTCGATCCTCCTGCCTCAGTCTCCAGAGCCACTGAGATTATAGGCATGTGCCACCACGCCCAGCAGTCAATTCGTTTTCATCTCAACACTGCAAGGAAAAAAATGGTAACAATAATGATTGTGAAGTTTCTAAGTGAAAAGTAACTTCCAAGGAGTGGTGACCTTAGAAATTGAGCCTAGGGCTGGGGATGTGGCTCAAGCGGTAGCGCGCTCGTCTGGCATGCGTGCGGCCTGGGTTCGATCCTCAGCACCACATACCAACAAAGATGTTGTGTCCGCCGAAAACTAAAAAATAAATATTAAAAAAATTTTAAAAAAAAAAAAAAAAAAAAAAAAAAAGAAATTGAGCCTAGACCTCTATATACCAACAATGAGGATCCATGTTTAAAGTGAAGACCCTGACAGACTACAATACATACTGATAAATATGGTATCATAGTATATAACAATAAATGTTTCCAACAATAGCACTTCGAACATGAGGTTTATTATTTCCTAGGTAGAAAATGCTATTACTAACTCCATCCTAGGTTTTACTGAAAGTGACCTGAAGTTCATTTTTCTTATATGTTGAATGCATTTATACTATAGAGATTAAAAATGCTGGTTTTCAGGGCTGGGGTTGTGGCTCAGTGGTAGAGCACTTGCCTAGCATGTGTGAGGCACTGGCTTCAATTCTCAGCACCTTGATAAATAAGTAAATAAAATAAAGGTCCATCAACAACTAATAAAAATATATTTTTAATGCTGGTTTTCTTCTACAATAATTAAAGACAGAATAGCAGTCCAAGACTCATTAGCATCCTGAAATTCCACTTGGAATGTTTTTCCTCCTTTCCATCCTTAGGTTTCAAATGTATAACAATGTCATTTAATCTTTCAAAAATACTTGATTTGCCCATAGAGATCAACTCTTAACAAATATAGAACTTTTATTATATACAAAGACTACAAAGAAGTTCCCTTACTGGAGAAAATGAAGTTGATAGGCCTTTTGTTGTTTTGTTTTTATGGTACTGGGGACTAAAACCAAGACCTTCTGCAGTGCTAAGCATGCACTCCACTAATGAGCTATGCCCCAGCCAAATGTAGTTTTTTTATGTTTTAAACTAGTGGTTCTTAATTAGAAGTAATTGTGCCCCCTCAGAGAATACCTGGCAATGTCCAAAACATAAGTGAAAGGGGAGGGTCTGGGGTTGTGGGTCAGTGGTAGAGTGCTTGCCTAGCATGTGTGAGGCACTAGGTTCGATTCTCAGCACCACAATAAATAAATAAAGGTCCATCAACAACTAATAAAATATTTTAAAAAATAAATAAGTAAAAGGGGATGCCACTAGCACCCAGAAGAGGCCAGGGATGCTGCACAATATCCTACAAGGCATAGGACACCACCAATAAAAAATGATCCAGTTCAAAATATCAATAGTCTAGGCAAAGAAAACTCTTAAAATAAGCAGCCATTTAGAAAGTGTAACTAATAGCTATTAGATATAAATTACGCCCATAGAACATGTCTGAAGATGGAAATATGTTTTGGACTAATGAGAGTAAAAACTAGCCAAATAACTCTAATAAGCATATACAGTGTGCTACAGAGCTTATGAGTATATTATATTATTATCAAGAATAAAGAATACAGAGTACTTAAGACTTTGAGGAAATTATATGTAAAATGGGAAGTCATGCCAGATAGATAGAAATAGATATACTTCAAAAACATATTCTGCTGTTAAATGTTTTTATCATTTATATTAAAAATACAAAGATAGGATTTGTATGTGATTGCTAATACTGCTAATACTTGACCCCGCAAAACTTCTCACAAAAGTTCTCAAGTTCTCACACTTAGGTCCATTTTGTTTAAAACACACACACACACACACACACACACACCCTTATCTTTGTGCTAAATGAACAAAGCCCGGGCTAGTAACTCTGGGCAATCTGCTAAAATAGTTTTTAGAAAATCCAAAAAGGACATAAATAACATGTAACATTTAGGGGTATGATTGTACAGTATTTAAATCTAATGTAAAGCCTAATTGAGAATCTTAATTTCTAGGCTCAGTTCTCACTTCTCCTATAATTTGACCTAGAAAACTCAGTTTGTTTTAGGACTTGTCTATTTGTAAAATAGAATGGCAAAGATGTGAAGTCAGGTGCAGGGATGCAAGCCCATAGTCCCAGCAGCTCAGGAGGCTGAGGCAGGAGGATCGCCAAGTTCAAAGCCAGACGTGGCAAAAGCAAAGCACTAAGCAACTCAGACCCTGTCTCTAAATAAACTACAAGATAGGGCTGAGGATGTGGTTCAGTGGACAAGTGCCCCTGAGTTCAATTCCCTGTACCAAAAAAAAAAAAAGAATAGCAAAGAAGTGTTATGCTCTCTAGAAGACAGATATCTTCACAAATCAGGGGCCAAGCTAAGTGATGGGCACCAAGGATCTATCACACATGATAAAGAACTGATTATAGACCTATAGACCCTTTATAAAACAATTAGAAATGTCTCCTTTCATGTTGCCCTTCTGCTCTGAAATTCACCCGTGCAACTTTCCCAAATGCCAGCTGTCCCCACTACTTCTGTCTCATAAATCTCTACATAATTTAGCATGGCCAAGACTGGATTAATTGAAGCGTGCAACCTGATTAGCTAAGAAAAAGGCCAACTATCCAGTTTACAATTGATGTGTGCTACATGGCTAATTTGAAATACATAGTGGATTACAGAAATGCCTCCACATTTATGCTTATAATTTCAATTAAACTAACATTCTTTAAGCAGGTACGATATGCCTGCCAGTCACCACACTAGGAATTCAGGAATACAAAGATAAAAAAGAACATAAAAGAAATAAAGTTTATTTGAATAAACTTTAGCCTCTGGAAGGGCCTCTGAAGGATCTGAATGTCTGTTTATTGAAATTACAAAAAGCTAAGGGCTTCAACTAAGTCTCTTAATTCTGCTTTGTAAGACTCTTAGGATTGGGATACAACACAGTAGGAGACAACTTGCATAGCATGCACAAGGCCCTGAGTTCAATCCCTTGTACTGTGGAGCGGTGGCAATACAGGAAGAATCTACACTATTTTCATTTCTATGGACTTATGTTAAATCATCTTTGTGTTTAACAGAGAAATATTTTAATAAGTTATGATTCATTGACACAATAGAATACTACCTTAAACATTAAAATTATGAAGACTTTAGAAACAAAGAAGAAAACTATACATTGATTATAATTATGTAAACTTTTAAAAATATTAAGTAATATATAAAAGTGAAAAACATGGGTACTCAAGTAAATTTTGTTGTGCTACTGGGAACTGGATCCAGAGCACTCTACTACTACATCTTTTTTTCTTTTGAGATAGGGTATCACTAAATTGCTGAGGCTGGCAATCCTCCTCCTCAGCCTCCCGAGTAATTTGAAGTACAAGTGTGCACCACCACACCTGGCTGGAATAAGATTTTTAATGAAAGAAAAACACGTTGTAATATTATACAAAAAAACTGTTGTAGCCAGGCATAATGACATACGACTATAATCCCAGCTATTCAGGAGACTGAGGCAGAAGAATTGGAAACAGGAAGCCAGCCTAGGCAATTTGGTGAGACTGTCTCAAATTAAAAAGGTCTGGTGTGGTGGTGCATTACCTGTAATTCCAGTAGCTCAGGAGGCTGAGGCTGGAGGATACCAAGTTTGAGACCAGCTTCAGCAATTTAGCAAGGCCCTAAGCAACTTAGGGAGGCCCTGTCTCAAAATAAAAAATAAAGGGCTGGTGAAGTGGCCCAGTGGTTAAGTACTCTTCAGAGCTGACAGCCCCTAAGAGGGATCAAAAACAGGGGACTAGGGCAAATATTTTCTGTAAAGAAACATTTTTCTGTAAATATAAGGCAGTTTCTGCACAACTATTCAACTCTACCATTATGGCATAAAAGTAGCCATAGATTGTACATACATAAACCATTAAGTACTGCTGTGTTCCAATAAAATTCTATTTAACAAGTGGAGGCAGCAGGCTAATTTGGCTAGGGCCCAATTTGCCAAACCATCTTAGAAAGTCAGAGGCTTGCAGTTCTAATCTGATGTGGGAAACTTAGGGCCACTCTGAATTTGCCCCTTTCTAGTCTACCACCTTCATATGGAGTCATGGTCCCTGACTGGCTTCCAAGAAATAGGTAGGGTCAAATGTATGTAAAGGAATCTCCTGCATTCCCTTCCCTTAGCAAAGCCTGACCGAGAGAATAGGGACTGCAGACAGAAAGCATCATAAGTCTGAAGACCGAACTGAATTCATAGTAAAGGAACTGGACTGAATGCAGCAGCAGACTACTTTATCAGTCAACTTTCTCCTCAGAGATATCAGCCAATACTTTCTTTAAAGGCTTTGAAAGTGTTAAACTTTCATGTTAAGATTTTACTAAATAGCCAAAACTAGTTTCAGCAAAAAAAAGATGTCCTCTGTATCAGTCAGCTTTTTACCATTATAATGAGATATCTATAACAAGCTACTTATGAAGAAAAGTAAAGTTTAGCTCCATTTTGGAGGTTCAAGGGCATGATACTAGCTCAGTTTTGGTGAGAGGTGGTGTACTCTCTCTTGCCTACTCTTTCCTTTTCTCAGCTGCATCATGGCAGTGGAAGAGCTTACATCACCAAACAGGAGTTAGACACACGAGTTCCACAATCTCTTCGGAGGGCATGACCGGAATGATCTAAGGACCTTCCATAAGGCCTATCTCGTAAGGCTCCATCACCTCCCAATACCACCACCCTGACAAGTTCCCAACACATGAACCTTTAAGGAGAAACAAACCAGATTCAAAAAACTATCATTACACCACAATAAGAGACAAACACTTTAAAAACACACTGATTTAGTTGGACGTGGTTGAGCACACCAGTAATACTAGCCACTTAAGAGGCTGAGGCAAGAGAATGGCAAGTTCAAGGTCAACCTTGGCAACTCAGGGAGACCCTAACCCAAACCCCAAAACAAAAAGGGCTAGAGTTGTAGCTGAGTGATAGAGTGTCCCTGGGTTCAATTCCCAGTACAAAAACAAACAAAACATTGATTTAGTTAGTAAAAAGGACTTGCAATTGTGAGTTCACCTTTTATACTGAATCTGCCATATTATATTTTTCCAAATACATATTTTGCCTTAAAAAGGTGGGTTGGGGGGCTGCAATACACTGAGCTGGGGGTATATAGCCCAGTTTGATCACCAGTTCTGGAAAAAATGGAGGGGGGAGTATATCCCCATCCAAAAAAAAATTAAAAATTGCCCTTACAATTCTGACTTCTTTCTACTAACTTCATTGCATGTAATGCTATCCTTATACCAATTAGTTCATTTATTTCCCAACAAAATTAGCATTCACAATTCACTCTTTTGATTTTTGCCAAAATAACAAAAAATTATACACATAAATGAACACAACACTCATATACTTTTGAAGTCCCACAATATGATGGACTTAAATTCAAAACATACCATGACAGAACAAAAAAATGAAGTCGGTTTCAATTAGTGTATCCACAGTTCTTGACCTCTCACTGGGAAGCTACAAGATGTCCTTGAATAAGATCCTGAACCCGGGACAGAATAATCTCATTAGAGCTGCTACAATTTTCTGGACCATATGGTGGATCTATAGTCAAGACCCCAGCCACACAGAGAGTCCTTCGTGAATCTCCCTGTTCAGTGATGGGGATGTGATTCTTCTCAAGCCACTTCTTTAGGCTATTCTTTCTCTCTTCCAGATCTTCAGGGCTGTAAGCTTTACAGTCTCCAGACATGAACAAATGCATCAGTTTCTCTCTTACTCCATGGTCCCCTTCATTCACAATTTCAACAGTTTGCACAGAATGTCCCATAATTCCAGTCACAGACAAGCTGCCATCTTCAAGGAAGTTCACAAGGACAATACTTTGAAAGAAAAATCAGTTCAGAGCAGATTTGCAAAAGAAAAATCTAAAGAAAGAAACTATAAAAGAAGCAATGCAATGAGAGGCATCCTCAGCCCAAATAGGTCACTAGAATGGAGGAAACAACCTTCCCTATTTAATATTAATCTTCTCATCACCAAATGCTTTCATTGACTGACAAGCATTCACTGAGGATCCTAAACATTTTCCCTGACATATGGTTAATCATTGTGGGATACAATTAATGTATTTCCTAAGAGTTCATTGGCTTGGGGGGTATAGCTCAGTGGCAAAGTGCACGTTCAGCATGCATGAGGCCCTGGATTTGATCCCCAATACCAATTTCTTCTAAAAAGTTATGCCAAGCACAGTGGTGCACACCTGTAATCCCAGTGAATTGGAAGCCTGAGGCAGGAGGATCACAAGTTTAAGGTCAGTCTTGGCAACTTACTGAGACTGTCTCCAAAAAAGGGGGGGGGGGGGCAGAGGGCTGGGGATGTAACTCAGTGGTAAGATGCCCTAGGTTGGAAGAAAGGAAGGGAAAAAGGAAGAAAGAGAAAATAAATAAAATAAAAATGATATGTGATGAGAATTTCACTTCTGTGGTGCTCCCCAAAATGTCTATATCCTCAGTCTATGAAGAAAACATCACAAAAACCAAAGTTGAGAGAATTCTATCTCACCAGTACTTTTCAAAATTGTCAAGGTCATGATATACAAGACTGAAAAACTCATAGATCAGAGGAAACTAAGGGAACATCCTTATCTTCTAAGATGTATGCCTCTTACATGATGAGGCATGATAAGATGTCTGGAATTGGTTTTAAAAACTTGGAAGAGATGAAAAGTTAAGTGTTCATTATATCACCCTTTTTACCGTTGTGTATGTTTGAAACTCTACATTAGAAAGATAACCAAAAAAGAAATTTCTATGTTCCATTCCTATGAACGTGGGCTGCTTTGATAGAGCTATCCATAGTTAGAATAGCACTTGGATTCAAAGACAGTTCAGTTCTTAAATGAAAAGAATTAGCCTTTGGGCTGGGGGTATAGCTTAGGGGTAGGTAGAGTGCTTGCCTGACACGTACAAGACCTTGGGTTCAATTCCCAGCACAGCAAAAAAAAAAAAAAAAAAAAAAAAAAGGACCAACCTTTCACTGATCTGCTTTTAGTAATGTGGATATACCACACAGGGTGTGTCATGATTTCAGGCAAGCAGGATGCATACTCACTTGGCAGAGACTGGATCTGTAGTTAAAAGCCATCCTTTATACTCCTTCTTCTCACTGGCTATCACTCTGACTTCTTTGTAAACGTAGTCTTGCCATTCTAAGGGGCTTTTCTTCATCCATTCACTCATAGTTCCAGGTGGCTAAATCTAAAATCACCACCGGTTTAGGTTAATATATATTTCCAACACAGGCCAATGTCTTAATTCTATTCTTTATTCTAAAAGCAGAGAATATCTGTGATTTGCCTCAAATTCTTAACAAGTTACTTAATACAATTAAGAGTTAACTATTGACTGGTTGTAGTGGCCGGCGCCTGTACCCCACCAGCTAAGGAGGCTGAGACAGGAGGACTGCGAGTTCAAAGCCAGCTTCAGCAAAAGCGAGATGCTAAGAAACTCAGTGAGACCCTGTCTCTAAATAAAATACAGAATAGGGCTGGGGATGTGGCTCAGTGATCCAGTGCCCCTGAGTTCAATCCCTGGTACTGCCCCCCCACCCCAAAATTAACATATTGACCCAGGCCTGGTAGCGCATGCCTGCCTGTCACATGCCTGCCTGTCGTTCCTGCTACTAGAGGCTGAGGCGAGAAGATGACTTGGGCCCCAAGACCACCTCCCCATCTCAAAAACAAACAAAAAAAGGCCAAAGGCAAAACAAAAATAAGCATTAATAATACGGTCTATGGGGCTGGGGCTATGTCAGTGGTGGAGTGCTTACCTAGCACGGATGAGGCACTGGGTTCGATCTTCAGCACCACATAAAAAGTAAATAAATAGGTATACAAAATTTTAAAAATAATAATACGGACGGTGGTTGTGAAGACTGCTTGAGTTTTTTTTCTTTTACTGAACATGAATGTAAAATAGCTTGTGTTTATGACTCTGTCTGAAGGCCATGGGGACACCGGGGGCATCTGGCACACTCCATCCCACCCTCCAATCCCATTCCGCATCGCTTCACACTCGGCAGAAAAGATGGTGAAACCCTTCAACTCAGCCCTCCTTCCAGCAAAGGAGTTCGCTCCACGGCCCTTTCCGCACAAACTGACGTCCTCCCATTCTCTCCTAGCTGTGTCTCCGCGGGACCTCGGCACCGGGACCCCGACTTGTGCCAATTTCCTCCTAAAATCTGGAGGATCCGCAAACACGGGGGAGGCAGCTGACCCTCTGGGGCTGGGGCCCGAGTCCGGTCCCGAAGCCGCGGGACGCTCGGAGCTCTACTCACACCACGTGGTACTTAACGCTTAATTCTCGAAAACCAGGCAAAGAGCAGCGGGAACGCCGGGCGCCGCGAGGACTGTGAGCTGAGCCGAGACGGCGGGAGCGGGCGGGAGCCGGGCGGCCCCGCGCCTGCGTCACTTCCTTACCCCGCGCCTGCGCTTGGTAGTCTTTGGTTGTGGGTCGGGTCGCTGTGCACTGGTGTGAGGCCGTGCTCGCTAGCGCCGCCCTCTCCAGTGCCACGATGAACATTTCCAATAATTTTTTTTAAACCATGCTTTTTTACTCAAACATATAATTTAATAAAACGTCTATCAAATGAAGAACATAAATCAGGTTAGAAAAAAATGCCAGGTGTGGTGGTGCCCGCCCTGTGATCCCAGGGAGGCTGAGGCAAGAGGTTCACAGGTTGGAGGCCAGCCTGGGCAATTTAGCCAGGCCCTAAGCAATTTAGTGAGACCCTGTCTCAAAATTAAAAAAATAAAAATAAAAAGGGCTGGCTAAGTGGAAAAGTACCCCTGGGTTCAATCCCTGGTACCCCTCCACCTCCCCCCACCACTGCCTCTCCCCCCCAAAAAGTAGTTTGGAGCTGGGGCTGGGGCTCAGCAGTAGCGCGCTTGCCTGGCATGTGTGAGGCACTGGGTTCGATTCTCAGCACTGCATATAAATAAAATAAAAGTCTATCAACGATTAAACATTTAAAAAAGAAAAAGAAAAAGTAGTCTGATACACTCACTCATCTAAACCTGACAGTAAGCCTCTAAAATGGGTAGGGAGACTGTGGAAGTTGGGAAAACTGCGGTTCCGAGCAGCTATGGCTTAATACTGATACAGGTCTAGGAGGACTTCTCTAGTTGACCTTATTAGAGGAGGCTTTGTGCAGCAACTGAGGGCAGTGGAGATCACCTGGGCCAAGTGAAGGGGGCTGAGATCAACTCGAGATACAGAAGAGGCATCACCCTGCCCTCTTTTTTGAGAGGAAAGAGTTAGTTCCAGGTCCTCAGTAATAGTAGGCATAGAAATGTGCTGTTGTGCTATGGAATCAAACACAGAAATCTTCTGAGTAAATCCTAAAGGTCTAGAACTGTGAGTTGAATGTGCAGTGGAGAAGAGCAATGGGATCATGTTTTGTTTTTGTAGTAGTGGGAATGGAGCCCCTGGGTGCTCTAACACTAAGTCAACATCCCCAGGCCTTCTTATTTTGAGAGAAGGCCTTGCTAAATTGCTCTAGGTTGCCTTTGAATTTGCAGTCCTCCTGCCTCAGGCTTCCAAATTGCTGGAATTACAAGTGCAAAGTTGCACTTGAGTAGGTATTTCTTTTTTGGTTTTTATAAGACAATTAAAATTCCTGCTGCTTGGAGATAAAGCTCAATGGGAGAGTACTTGCCTAGCATGTAGGAGGCCCTGGTTTCAATCCCCAGCACAGGGGGAAAATAAATCCTACTTCTTAAGATATAGCCTTGGTACATCTTACTGAATGTGCAGAATCTGGAAAGAAACACACTGGATTGGGTTGAATTACACCTAGCAGATCACTCACTGTAAACCTCTGTAGTGTAAAAACTGTAAACTCTTGCATCAGCTACAGATTTCTGGTCACATAATTGGCTGCTAGCTTACACCTTTTCTAGACTATGATGCTAAAAAATGTTATCTGGTATTAAAGGTTGAGTTCTTAGAAATGTTGAAACATTCATAAGAATATTTACAATAATTGAATTAGAATATCTAACGAAGGTATAGAAAACATCAAAAATTAAGGTGCTCTTCTGTTGCTACTTAGAATCATTCAATCCTTGAAGTACATTGTCTCCTATGTCATCAAATAATCCATCCCAAAACCTTAATTCATTGAATGATTGATTGATTATATTAATTTTTTATAGATTGCTAGATTTTGCCAATTAAAGACCATTTAAGGGCTGGGGATGTGGCTCAAGCGGTAGCGCGCTCGCCTGGCACGCGTGCGGCCTGGGTTCGATCCTCAGCACCACATACAAAGATGTTGTGTCCGCCAAAAACTAAAAAATAAATATTAAAAAAAAAAAGACCATTTAAATCTACAAAGAGTTAATATAAATTTGTGTAGTTATTATATTGTAAAGGAAAACATTTGATCTCATAAAAGTTCAGTCCAAAAGAGCTACAACTAATTTTTAACAATTTTTAATTTGCAGTTTTATGTTTCATTCTATACTGCAAAATAAAAACCTTTGGCCTTGTTTTCTAAACATATAATTTTCAAACAGAAGATAGTCTCAATGTAAACTTTAAGGTGACAAGATTGGGCAATTTCCCTCGCTTCCCTTTAGCCTCTTTGTGTGCTATGTTTTACTGGGGGTTAAACCCAGGAGTTCTCTACTACTGAACTAAACACCCAGTCTTGGGCTCAAATTTGTAATCCTCCTGCCTCAGCCTCCTGAGTTGCTGGAATTACATGCTGCGCCACCAAGCCCAGCACCTTTTGCCTCTTAATGAAAGTAAAAATTCATTCCCTGGAACTGCTGATATAAATCACTGACTTCAAACTGGTGACCTGCCCATTTAGGACCTCTCCTGTAGCCAGTCCTCATTAAGTTTAAATGATGCTACCTCTTTTTCCTCTGAAGGAGCTCACTCCAGCAGGTGTGCCATTTTCATGTTCTCTGTTTCTCTCCCTTTCCATTCCACTCTCCGTCCATCTTTCCAAAGGTCTACACCTTCTCAAACCTGCTGCAGTCTGGCTGGGCACAAATAACCGAGCCGCCACAAAGCCTTGTAGGTTCAAACAGCAATTTTTTATTCCCCAACTCTCACCAGCACTGCCCACACCACACGGGAACACACTCCCTCCACCGGGCTCCGTCCAATCTCTCCAACACCCCCCCCCCCCAGAACTCACGGGGCAAGAGCCGCCCTATTGCCCGACAGTAAAGGTCAAATATACAATACAATCAATCCAGCATCACAGCAATTATATATAGCTTAACTCAAATCATCATCTCAATGGTTCGCTGGCACCTTACAACCATTCCCTCTGGCAAATGCCAGGCATCATTCTGACTGGGCTGTGGCTCTCAACACAAACCTATACACACTTTATTTATGTGCTTATTTGTTTGTTTGTTTGTTTTTTAGGGTGCTGGGGATTGGACTCAGAGCTGCTCTACATCCCCAGCTCTTTTCATTTTATATTATATTTTGAAACAGGGTCTTGCTAAATTGCTGAGGTTGGCCTTGAGATCCTCCAGCTGAGTTCAAAATTGCTTATTTTAGATTCTCCAGTACATTGTTTCATTTTAGCAAGAAATACCTTTTGGGGGGGTACCAGGGATTAGTAACCACTGAGCCACATCCCCAGTCCTCCTTCCCTTTTTTTCTGTATTTTATTTAGAGGCAGGGTCTCCCTGAATTCTTTTTTTTTTAAATATCTTCATTTTATTTATTTATTTTTATGTGGTGCTGGGGATTGAACCCAGGGCCCCACATTCACCAGGTGAGTGCTCTACCGCTAAGCCACAACCCCAGCCCCTCACTGAATTCTTTATGGTGTCACTAAGTTGCTGAGGCTGGCTTGAACTTCTAATTCTCCTGTCTCAGCCTCCTGGGCCACTGGCATTACAGGTATGCACCACTGCTCCTGGTGAAATACTTATTTTCAAAGAAACTTTTCTTCTTAAATGCCCTGAAGAAAATCAGAAATTAAAAAGACTGTCAATTCAATTGTCTTGAACTATTCACTGGTCTTTATCATGGTGCCAAGATAAGGCTATCCTACTCTAGTCAAACCATCACAAATTTCAGTTCACGATGTTGAGTGTTAAAAGTAGGTAGAAAATGGAGTGGTCTGACTTCCCCATCAACATGAAGGCTTTTCTGATTCTGGGGCTTCTTCTCCTTTCTGTCATAGTCCAGGGCAAAGTCTAGAAAGGTGTGAGTTGGCCAGAACTCTAAAAAGACTTGGAATGGATGGCTACCGAGGAATCAGCCTGGCAAACTGGGTGTGTCTGGCCAAATGGGAGAGTAGTTACAACACCAGAGCTACAAACTACAACCCTGGAGACAGAAGTACTGACTATGGGATATTCCAGATCAATAGCCACTACTAGAGTAATGATGGCAAAACCCCAAGAGCAGTTAATGCCTGTGGTATATCCTGCAATGCTCTGTTGCAAGATGTCATCTCTCAAGCCGTGACTTGTGCAAAGAGGGTTGTCCGTGACCCACAAGGCATTAGAGCATGGGTGGCATGGAGAAACCATTGTCAAAACCGCGACCTCACTCAGTACATTCAGGGGTGTGGAGTGTAACTGCAAAATTTTCCTTCCTTCTTCAGTTCATTTTGTCACTTTGCCACATTAAGGGACACACTGCCACTAGTATAGTGTGTCATACTACCATTGTTTCCCCTTCAAACAAATAGCATTTTTACAGAAGCAGGAACAAAATATAGCCTTTCTCCTAAGAGCCATACTGTTCACTAATGTGTGTTTTATTTAATAGTTACCCCCTCCCCATTTTCAGCTTACTAATAAAGCTAATGCTGGTGAAAACTTACCTACAACCTTGATTATCAAATAATCTACAGTACATTCAGTTTTTTATTATAGATATAATCAAGACTTAATCTTAAATGATACAAATATTTCCCAATATCAGACAATAATACAACAAAAGGTTATCTAAAAACCCATAGAATTTAGGCATAATCCGGGCTGGGGATGTGGCTCAAGCGGTAGCACGCTTGCCTGGCATTCGTGCAACCCCGGGTTCAGTCCTCAGCACCACATACAAACAAAGATGTTGTGTCCGCCGAAAACTAAGAAATAAATATTAAAAAAAAAAAAAGAATTTAGGCATAATCCAAGCTGTGTAGCATCTATATAGTCATCTCCAAAAATAGGAAAAATAACCACTCTCTTGGGCAGTATAAAATTCTTAAAGGAGTGGAAAGCCAACCCTTAAAAGTGAAGACTGACCGAAGGAAAAATGTGTTTGCACAAAGTGTGTGACCTTCGGTTTAAGAATTTTCATAAAAAATATTCCATTTATGCAGCTTTACAAACACACTCATAATTTACATATCAATCTGTTTTAAGCTTTGAAAGAATACTTACCTGCATCTGATTGATCATGAAGCCATTAAGGAGGGATTAAAT